CAAGATGGTCATTTAATTCTAAGATTTTGAGTCTTATTCATAATAATTGGAATTCTCTATAACAAGTTTTAAATGACATTTTAAACGAACCAAATTCTGATCAGGCTTCAAGAAGACAGGCCAAGGCTACTTAAATATGTTTAATGACTTTGAATTAGATATAAATTACTGTGTATCTCAAATTAAAAATGCGCAGAATCAACTAAACGCTAAAAGAAGTAAAGTTATTTTTGCAAATATAATTGATTCAGTTTCCCTAAAAACAGAACTGCCCACTGAGCACCGTGATGGGCGCGCATAACACAAGTCTTGACAAGAGATCAAGTAGTTCAAAAATATAAAATTCTGTATTATGAAATCCTAGACACAATTTAAAAACAAATGAACACTCGTTTTCAGGATACTGATAAGCTTCAGTTCGTAACATTAATGGACACTTCCAAATTTTCTGTTTATTCGGAGAACTTTCTTACAGAAACACTTATTAAATTAAATTAAATTAAAAAAATCTAAATTATAGCAATATTTATTATATAATCGAATGCGGTTTCAAAGATAACAGGATCAATAAATCCGAATCTCTAAATTTTGGAGCTAAATGCTCGGATAAGGTTACAAAAATAATCGATTTATCGTTTTCATGAAAATCGATTTATCCGTTATAATTAATCCATTATTTTTAATCGATTATTTTTTATTAATCGAACATTTTCAATAAATTCTTTTCGTTTTTTTAGGTAATGGAATAATCGATTATAAAGGAATTACAAAAAGAGTAGATTTATTCAAAATATTCGATTTATTGAAAATAATCGATTTTTTTAGAAAAATCGATTTATTGTTTAATCGACTTTTTAAATTAATCGATTATTTTAAATTAATCGATTATTTTCGATTAATCGATTATTTTCGATTTTTCAAAGGTATTCGAATAATTTGTTTTAAAATACAAAAATATATTATATAAAAATAATCAATTAATCGAATACAATCGGTTATAGTATATAATCGATATTTCGGTTATTTTTTAGAATTATCGATTTATCGGTCAATCAGCTTTTTATTAATCGATTATTTTCGATTTTTCAAAGATAATTTAATAATCAATTTTAAATGAAATATGAAACAAAAGGATTATTTGAAAATAATCGATAATTCAGTTATTTTTTTGGAAAATCGATTTATCGTAGAATCGGCTTCTTAATTAATTGGTTATTTTCCCTTAATCGATTATTTTCGATTAAGCGATTATTTTCGATGTTTCAAAAATGATGGAATAATTGATTTTAAAGAAAATAATTCTTTTTTTTTTGAAAAATCGATTGATCGATTATTCGACTTTTTAATTATTCGATTATTTTTGATTAATCGATTATTTTAGATTTTTCAAAGATTATCGAATAATCTGTTTCAATGGAAATACGAAAAAAAATTAATTATTTAAAAATAATCGATTATTTAAAATAAACGATAATTCGTTTATTATTTTTTGTAAACACTGATTTATCTGTTAATTGGCTTTTTAATTAATCTATTAGTTTTGATTTTTTAAAGATAATCAAATAGTCGATTTTAAAGGAAATACGAACAAAAATAGATTGTTGGAAAATAATCGATTGATCGAAAATAATCGATTATTATTAATGATCAATAATTTATTTTGATAATCACCCACTCCTAGCGACCAAATGAATTTTAATAGGTTTAAATTTTAAAATGTTATCTGGTTTCAGACATATGCATTTCTAGTTTTATGTGACTCATCCTCTATATTAATTAATATTTCCAAAGAAACAAGCTTTAATATATCTTTTTCTGAAGTTATAATACAAAATAGCATTTTCCCATTTTGACTAATTTTTAATATTATGTGATAGTCGTAGAAAAAATATAATGTTCAACTCACAAGGTTTGATTTGCAGTATTCGCCTGCGCACATGCTTTTTTTATAATACTCTTAGTCAATGAGTACCATTTCTTATTCGATTAACAATATTCTATTTCAACATTTTACTGTAGTCTCTTACAGAAAAGACCGTAGTAAATAATAGCTAACGAAATATTCTATAAATGGTATTCTCTTTACATAAAATGTCGTGGCATCTGTTTGATATTAAAAAATCACGTTAAATTTATTTCATAATACAAAATTCCATTAAACGTAAATTTTAAATAAATCTCATAGTTCATTGTGATACTAATAAACAAAGTCTGGTCCCTGTCACAGAGTTCGGGTCCCTGCCCAGTTCCCCCACTCCGTTAACCTTTCTTTAGAAATTGGCAACATTTGCGCAGGTAAAACACCGCTGTATGTTATATCTCTGGTCTCTTTTATCTAAGGGTCCTCATTACAATAATTATTAATTTGACCCTTTTATTCCGACTCTCACCGACAAAAGAAAGTTCCTGTCTTACCTGATTACGCGCAATATTTAAATTATTACACCTAATTGGCTATTGCACCTGAGTTATTGTAAGGGTGGTTATGCCTTTCCCAATCTACCATTATGCAACCAGTAATACACATAACTGTACATAGGGATGAGTTTATTTACAATACTAATGATTTGGATGGTTCCACAACAGTCACTGATAAAGGTGCTGGAGTCACCAAATTACGGTGGCCCTTCCTATGGGGCCTTAGTATTCCATTCGTGCAGACGAAAACATTTTCTAACCCCCATTTTTTTAAACTTTTTTTCATGTTTTCGATCATTCTGAGTACGAAAACGCAAAAAAAAAATTTCGTCTGGTCGTCTGTATGTATGTATGCCGGCACAATAACTCTAGAATGAAAGTTCTGATTGACTTACGGTTTTGATTTTCTTGAATAATTTCTTCTAACTTCGAACCCTATTGATTTTCAGAATTTTTGGTACATCCTAACTACTTTAATATTAATTTTCGTTAAATCCGCCTATGCAATTCTTATGTGATAATTTTAGAAATTCCAATTATTTCTTACGTCAACATTCCTAACATTCTCAACATTCCATAAATTCCAAACATTCTCTAACGACCTGGCAAACAACAAACTGTTGATAGTAAAGGTGAAATTTCTAAGGCGGGTTGCGACCTTCATACTTGCAACCATAGCCATTTTGAAGGCTATTTTTACTCGAAATTAGTCGTCAAGCCTGCCAATTTATTAAAAATGTATAAGCATTTTCTTAAAAATGACTTTTTTTATGGTGGTGCTAACTTAAGCGTACTACTATTTCTCCCTTAGCCACAAAAACACCTTCATCAAATTTACTGGCTCTCTGTCGGAACCCCATAGAATAATTAACCGGCTATTTTATTTGGCAAAAAGGAGAGTAAATGCTTGGCTGTGCCTGTCAAGTATCAAGATGTCAACTATGATGTGTATATGGCTCTTAAATGTCAAATTATTTAAAAATGTATGTTGTTTTTTTGTAGATAATATTAATTATACAGTTTTGCATTACATATTCAACCAGCGAATTGTAAATAATAATTAGTAAACTCCTAGTCATATATTTCCTCAATTCATAAATTTTAAAAATGAATCTTCTTACCTTGGGATTTTAATGACGTAATGTGATCAACCCATTTCAAATTTTGATCAATTATGATACCGAGGTATTTTGTTGTGTTTTTCATTTTATCATTTTATCATTTATTTGTATGTTGAAATAAGGCCTTTGTAAATTACATTGCTCTCTATGGATCTACTTTAACACAAAAATAGTTTTGTGGCTATAAGTTGCTATAACCAATCGTCGCAAAACTATTAATAATTTAAACATAGTAAGTAGTAGAACAAGGTAAAACGAGATAAAACAAGGGGTAAAATAACAATAAGTTAAGGGAAATACCTAAAAAGGCAGGTTTAAAGAGTATTATCACAAGAAGGTATATCCGTTCTGTTTATTTATCAAGTATTGTTTGAGGTTACTTTTGAATACATTTATTGTTTTTTTTTTAATTAATTGTATTTTGGGAACTTTTAGTGATGGCTTACCGTACATGAAAGTCAGATTGGTTTCTTGTATTATAGTTGTGATATTGTGAATTATATTGAATTTTTTCTAATAGATCTGATGCGATGGATTTATGTCATTTTAATTTTATAAATAAATATTAGTCATGTACTGAACATAATTATGTACTGAAAGCCAATTTATTTGTTTTAACATAGTTTCAATTCTCATCCTTCTGTCCTTTATTAATAGAATATGAATAGGCGAAGTAAGGAGCCCAAATATTTTATGAGCTGGCCTAAGAGGTAAAGGGGCCAATCATTATTGGATAAATTGCTCGAACAAACCCTAATCAAAAGGCGATATAGAATGGTTTTAAAAATCAGAGCTTGTGAAAATCATCACACGGTTTAACCTAAGTAATGCCAATGCTTCACAAAACAAAAAAAATCAACGTCCTAATACTATCAGCTTTCGGTCTTTCGTTCCAAGTTAAAATCATTTTCCGGTTTTGTTACGCTACGAGTTTACCCTTGTGGGCCTCAGTCTCGATAAGGTGGGAACCACCATTTTAGCCTCTCTCGAATTTCTAAATAAAATATATGTATGCATCTATCTTGCTTCGCACACACGATCAATTTGATTGCGGATTCCACTTTGCACATAACCTGAGTTTAATGATTAATCAGCAAAATTAGTGAAGTGAAGCATTTTAAAATTAGTGTAACACAAAGTGATTTTAGATGTAAAAAATAGATGGAATTCAGTTTATTTCATGCTGGAGAGATGTATTGAACTAGCTCCTGTTGTGAGTTAATTATTAATGCTTGACACAAAAGCATCACCTACTTTCTCTAGTAACACCTATTATATTCCCTCTGCTCTAGAAATTCAAGAAGTAAAACTGGTCTAAAATATGTTACCAGAGAGCTTTCTTGTGAAAAATATATAATTTGTTTTCTACACGCGCGATATATTTTTTACTTAAATTTCCAAATCTGTATAAAAGTATTCCTTGTACATAATTGGTTTTGAGAAAATATAAAAAAAAATTACCTGGTAAAAATCTTGGGACGTCCAACTTAATGTCGAGTAAATTATTTAAGGGCTGCAGTCTTAAACATGGTGCTAGGTCGTCTTCCAAAAGGTCTCCGTAACATCTGGTGTGTAGGGAAACGCTTCTTTTGACCCAAAGGGGATCCTTTTGGATGGCCCACGGACTCAGACTGGATCCGCTAAGTAATATCACACGATGTAGCAATTCTGCAAAAAAAATGAATATAAGGAAAATCATAGTATATTAAGTAGTAGTGATTTTATGAATTTTTGTATTAAAACAGTATCGTATTTTAATTAGAAGCAAATTATTTTTGAAAATCTCTTTATTTTTTGCATAAGTGGAAGTGTTTTGGTAAAATATACTAGTTGTGATTAGCCAGTTCTGGACCAAGGTCAAAGGTACAGAGGAAGATAATTGGGTAATTAGTAATTATCCCATGTACCCACCCCCACCCTTCGTGCAATTAACAATTAATCTGAGCATCATGTACTGTAATGAGTGCAATTGCATATTGTAATGAGTGTAATTGCATAGTGTAATGAGTACAATTGCGTAGTGTAAAAAGAAATGATTTCATTTCTCCGTACACATAGAGGTGTAAGTATTTGGATCATGTAGTATGTGTAACGAGCATAGTAAGTAGGTACCCCAAACACATTGAAGTAATAGTAATAATTACTATGTTTACATATAGTGTAATGAGTTTATAATAAGTACATCTCAGTGATTACTATTGTAGCATAGGAAAATAAGTCGGGGCATGTCTAAACACATCCTTAACTCTAAACCGTCATAGGTAGAGTAAAGGCTAGTCTTCAGCAGACACGCACGACCTAAACATTGGTGGAAGGAGTAGTACCCCACCCTTCGCGCAATTAGCAAGTGCCTCCCCATTACTCTGTACATCATGTACTTTAATAAACGTAATTAGGTAGTGCAATGAGGATAGTAATTACAGTAAGTACATTACTACATACACAATGTAAGTACCTCTTAAATAATCATTACTATTTACTACCTAGTGATCACTATTGGGGATAATAGGGAAGGAGGGGATTTTTTAGATGAAATCATTTTAAAATCGTAAGCTTTAAGAGTGTTTAGAAGTCCTAAATAACCAAGTGGAGCATTGGGTATGTTATACATGTAAAAAAGTATTTGTTCTACCATAGCCTAAGCTCACACAAATATGCTAAACAAGTTAGTTGGTGAATGAGTCATAATATTGGATCAGCGGGAACTAAAGCCATTAGTTGTAGGTCAACTTTATATTATTAGGGCGATATTTGTTAAAGATACTAGATTCGATAAATGTGTACTTATTTATTTAATTCATCGGCTTTCACTTGAGCTTTTCCAGTGTTAAAATAATGTCACCTGGAAATATTCTACGATTATTGCTGCTACCAGTCAATATCAGCTGGTCTATTTAGGGGAAATGCCATGTTATGGCTCAACTACTAGATCTCATAAGGGGTTCGAATTATTTGGTCAGCAATAAATTAATTTATCTGTGGTAGAGCCACTGCAAATAATTTTTTCCTACGACTACTTAGGAAAGTGACACATATCAAACTATACATTTCTATGGAAAGTGTCCTATATCACACGCGTATGAATAAGAATTTACCAGTGTGCGAATATGCTACTTTCCGCATTAGCTGTCATAAAATGTGAAACGCATCATTTCTATTTTAATCTATGTAATGTCCACATTAATACTAAAATCGATATGATTGTTAAATTATTGAAATTGTTGTAAATTAGATCCTAGATATTTACCTTTAACAATAAATATTAAAATAATAGGTTATCTAACTTTATCAACTTTGCCATTTGAGACCTGGCGAGCGACCGCGTTCAAATCCTTGAAGGGGCAGAATTTTTTTTTGCTTTTTTTATTTTTTTTTTGGACATTTAGTATTTTTTTGACATTTAGTTTTTTTTTGTTTAGAAAATATGAAAATTAAATACGGTAAATATTGATTGTTTTTTAAATTCATTTTATTTATTAAAATATAAAGCTCGTTTTACATTTCCGCATCAGCTGTCACATAATGTCAAACGCATCATTTCTATTTTAATTTATGTAATGTCCATATTAATAGTAAAATCGATATGATGAATAAATTATTAAAATTGATGTTTAAACTTAGATACAAAATATTTATTTTTAAAAATTATTATTCTGTTTAAATTTAAAATCGAATTAAAAATGCATTTGACATAAGACCCATTAGATCAGGTTGTAGGGTTTTTTGTTTTTTTAATTTTTTTTCTAAAAATATGAAAATTGAATAAATACAATTATAGTTGATTATTTTTTTTTAAATATATTTTAATTAATATAATAATAACCTGGTTTAAAATTTTTTAAAGAAAATATTTTGTGGTCGTAGGAAAACTATTGTACATCACTTGTGTGAAAAGTGATTTTTCAAACTCGTGTGATAGTCGCACTCGGCTTGTGCCTCGTGCGACAATATTTCCCACTCGTGTGAAAAATGTCACTTTCCACACTCGTAATGTGTAATGTTTAATTACATACATTATTTCAAATTATTTCGAAATGTGAATGATGGTTTCCGCTTACCACTGGCCTTAAGCCATTTACTTAAAATCAACAATAAGTAGACTTGGAAAGGAGCTGGATCCGCTAGCTATGGATGCGTTATGTTATGCTGAGAATGGGGTGTTAATACACTGCGACCTAAAAGATCTATTGTGCCCCCTTCTGTCACCAATGCACTAAGGAAATGTCTTAATGCCTATAACGACCCTTCCAATCCTATTTTCTCAAGGAAGTGTAAGATTTGAAGTGGCTTCAAGTTAGGTAAATCTCCCTCTTCTATTTGATATCCTCCTAGATATAGTTACCTTGGATCCTGGAGTGCTACACATTTAGTTAGGATGTGAATCGAGGTTTCGTCCTCCTCCTCACAGAATCTGCACTCACTATCCTCTACTACTCTCATTTTACTTAGGTGTCCTTTTAGTCGGCAATGCCCGGTGAGGATCCCTGTAACAATACGTAGCCTGTTCTTGCTCAGGCAGATGCAGGCTTCCGATATTTTCTGGTTATATTCACCCAGAAGTATCTTGGGCTGTCTCAGTCCCAAAAGATTGTTCCAATTATCGGTTCTTCTACTGCCCAATTCTTTTTTAATCTCTCCTAATATTATGTTACTGCTGATACCGCAGAACGGCTCAGGTCCTACAAAGGGTGCTTGAGCCCCTTTCCTTGCAAGACTATCTGCAATCTTATTACCCTGTACCGCGTTATGTCCCGGAACCCAAGTGAGCAAGGATGCGTTTCAGTACATCATCTGCGATGCCGACATATGGACGTTTCCAGAAGCTATAGCCTATCAAAATCAATGCTACAAGAAATGGTATATATAATAAATGCTATAAGAAAAGACAGCAGTCTTTTCCGCGATTATGAGACATGTGAGTTTGTAAAAATATGGTTAGCTAGGTGTGAAAAATTTCTTGAAACATATGTTACCACATTTAACCCCGCAAATACGGAACAAACATGGTTTGGATAAAGAGCCACAGTCAGGCGATCAAATCGACGATATAATATATCTGTATGTGTAAATAACATATCTAAATGCGTTATTAAATTATCAATAAAACAATATATATTGTTTTAATGTTTTTTGTTACCTGGTATTGTTTTTGCTAGAAGTGAGCACAGGTATAATTTCAGATATATTAAATTAGAATATATCAATTACAGCGGCATATATTCAGTAAGTACAGTACCATCAAATAATTGTGTTTCATAGATAATATGTGCATATACTATAGTGTTAAAAGGAAACCGGATTTTGCGTGTTTCGAATTCAAGCTTGATATCCACAGTTGAAGATTTGATTGGTTTTGGATAATACTGCAATCAATTACGAATAGGGGATTAACATTGATTAATGATTTTACTTTTTGTAGAAACTTCTCTGCAAATCTTCTAAAGCATAATAAGCGAAAGTATTCAACTTTTCCCAACATCTAAATTCCAACACTCCAATGGGTATACTTCAGAATTTAAATATACTCTGATATTGCTTATAACAGCAGTGTAAACACCATCACATCTTGTTTCCTATTCATAGTAAAATTGGTATTCTAAAACCCAATAATTACTTATCTCGGTGGTTCCATGGGTAGTGATTTTAATCGCCTATATGTCGTGAGAAGCTTGTCTTAAAGTAGGTTATTCATAAAGATATCATTTATGGTGTGGTATTTTAATAGATTGCTAATTTTTGTCTTAAATATGTTTGACTATCCAATATATTTTAGAGATAGTTATATTCGCCTCGACTTCACCCGTATAGTAATTTTCAAATGATCAGGCAATTATTAGCGTCATCTCATACTGAACAGATATTATCCCTTTCTTGTAAGATTCAGCGAAACCAAATTTAGATGTATTCAAGATTCTTCCTGTAAGTGTATTACTCGCTGAATCAACCAAAACTTGATTATCTTCACCAGTGGCGGCTCGTGGGGTGGTTCACAGTGACAGAATATAGGTATCAGCACAGATGTATGAGTGTTTTAGAAAGTTTATAACATACCTTTCTAAAACACTGACAGTTTTTTACCTATATCTGTACCGGGATCTATATTCTTCTACTGTGAACCCCCAAAATTTTGGTTACGAGCCGCCCCTTATCTTCACTAAGGTCTTAATCGGATGTCTCTAATGAGCTTATAACATCATATTTTTTATTGCTATCGTTATAATAGGTTTTTGATATTGAGCAACCTTTTTTCCACCCATTTCCCATCTAATTTCATAAAATAGGCCAGGCATAGCATTGTTGGCCAAATAGCACATTTTAGCAGCTTCTGTAGGATTAAATTTTCCCTGTGTATTGATGTAACTATCCGAAATTTTGAGATTCAGGTCCATATTATTGATCGTAGAGTGTAATTTGGCAATCCTGTAGGTGGGTGCATATTTTATTTATTTATTATCCAACCAACGGTACAAATCTGTTAGAGGTGAAATACATATCAAAAATAAAATAACATACACACATTAAATACATCAAAACGTAAACATTAAATTAACAAATAAACGAATTCGGACAATAATACAAATAAGTAAAAGTAGAATTTGACACATTAAATATAAAAATTAGAGTAAAATAAGACGTACTCGTACAAGATAAAACTAGATATTTCCTAA